AACTAAAACTCTTCAAAACATCTTAAGCAAACCAAAAGACCCAACAATCCCAGAAGAAAAAACAGGAGTCATCTACATTCTACAACATAGAATATAAGAACTGCAACAACCACTATGGGAGAACAAATCCATAAACACTAACTGGCAGTCAGAAGACATGATGAAAATTCTTTAATTTCACAACATATGGACAGATTTCAATTGGGAAAATATGACAATCTAGACCAGGCCAAGTCCAAAAATGCTAGGGAATTTCTAGAAGCTTGGCACTCTGACAAATCAGACATCAATAGATACATAGACATTAACATCTATAGACTATGCACACACACAAAACCCTGCCCAAAAAGGAACAAAAAGACTCCAACACCTCTCCACCAGCAATAAGCACCCAGATCAGCAAAGATTAATTCCAAGGCTAACTTCAAATCAACAATCCAATAATCAATACCCCAATCAAGAAACTGCCAAAGAGCTACCAGCCCAACCAAATAATATCTAAGACCACTCCCACCCAAACAGATAGGCAAATCCCCAGAATATAAACTGACAACAAACAGCACTCCTTATTAGCACTGATGATGTTACCTAGTAATAAAATATGTGCAAGAAAACAAGCAAGCTAGCACCAAGGACCCCTCACTGTAAGATTCCAAAAATATCCTCAATCTTTTTCAGGACATCTGAATGCCATCCAACCTGATGGGCCCATTATTTTGCATTTGAACAATAACCTTGTTTATCACTTTATCTCATGTCAATTCATGTGGTATAAGTACACATATGACAGAGATTGAAATTAAAAGGTCAACTCAAGAAGCGGGTGGGAAGTAGAACCTAGAGCCACTATTTTTGCCCAAGGATGTCACAGACTGGCATCAGTCACAATGGTCTATGTCATCATCTTGCAGTAATACAAAAGACCTGGAGTTAGAAAATTACAATTCTTTATATTTTGTTGACATCTATCAGTCAGCAACCTCAGATGTATTGTGAGAGGTTAGGGGTGGTTGGGTTGGTAGCCCATCAGCATTTAGAGGGTTCTAGGTTCCTCGGGATCTTTTATTCTATCCAGAAAACTCAAGAAATATGCTCTCTGTATGTGAACTGATTGAGGGCAACAGAAGAATGGGATGATACCACTCTAATGGCAGAAAGTGAAGAGAAACAAAAGAGCCTCTTGCTATGCAGATGAAGAAGGAGAGTGCAAAAATTGGCTTGAAATTCAACATTAAGAAAACTAAGATCATGGCATCTGGCCTCTCAATCCCTGGGAAATGGATGGGGAAGAAATGGAGGTAGTGACAGATTTTATTTTCCTGGGCTCCAAGATCACCACAGATGGGGCCTGCAGCCAAGAAATTAAAAGACCCTTGTTCCTGGGGAGGAAAGCTATGGCAAATCTAGACAACATACTAAAAAGCAGAGACCGAAAAAAAAAAAGAATTTGAACTATGGTGCTGGAGACTGCAAGGTGATCAAACTGGTCAGTTGATCTCCTAGATGAGATCAACCTTGACTGCTCTTTAGAAAGCCAGATCCTGAAAATGAAACTCAAATACTTTGGCCACCTAATGAGAAGGAAGGACTCACTGGAAAAGAGCCTAATGCTGGGAAAGATTGAGGGCAATAGAAGAAGGAGACAATAGAGAATGAGGTGGCTGGATAGAGTCACTGAAGCAGTCAGTGTGAGCTTAAATGGACTCCAGTGGATGGTAGAGGATAGGAAGGCCTAGAGGAACGTTGTCCATGGGGTCGCAATGGGTCGGACATGACTTTGTGACTAACAACAACAAGGTTATATTAATCTTGCAAGGTTATATTAATCCTATCAAGACCAATGTAAAATTTGTACTTTCCCCTAACCTCTTCAGAAAGATTGGACTTAGAGCCAGCATGTTGAGCTGTCAGGGAAATGGCCAGATTAGTGAGGAATTAGTGGGAATCCAAAACATCGGAGGAGGGGTGGAAATCAGATTGAAAAATGCTGAAGTTAGAGCCCTTCTTACAGTGGAATGGACCTGCCCTCCTTTTGAGGGAGGTGCAACCACAGTCTCTGTGGCACAACTGAATCCACATTTGTGTAAATCAATAAAGTATTGTGTGGATTTTGACAGAGGAACAAAGCACTCTGATGTCTTTAAAGTTAGGCAGCTTGGTTTGGCTGGACTTGACCTGGTCACTTTGCTTCATTCTAAATATTTTATTATGGAACTGACAATGTAAGACAGCAAAGGGAATATGTCACTTTGCAGAGCTACATCCAAGATCTATGTTGCTGAAGTCTCTGTCAAAGCAAAGCACCCCGTGAGGCTTTACATTGCCCTGTTAATAACCTTCACATTAGAAACTTCTAATGTTAAACCCCAATCCCTCCCCCACTTGGGCAATCTTAAAATTAAATTGATTTTAGGGCAATTAATTTTATGAGAACCTGTAACACTCCAGATTACTGAATCACAACATCTGGTTCAGAGTCTTATCTAGATTAGTGTTGGCAGCGGCAGATCCACAATTTCTTCTCAATGAAGATTGAAAAGTGCTTAGTTTGGGATGGATCACGCCATTTAGGAATATTTTCTCTTTTTTTCTTTTTAACTGATGGCAATATTTCTCCCTTTCCCCCTCCCCCATCCATTTTTCACTCAGTTCTCACTCAGTATGATGTCACAGAAATGTTTCCCCAAAAGAAAAGTGTGAAATTCTCCTGGGTGGAATTTAATAATGAGGTGGCCAACAGGGTGGCCTGTATTTCTTTGGAGCCTCTTTTGTCTTGCTGTTGCATCCACCCTGCCTTCCCACACTTCTGTGGGAAGCTTCTGCTCTTGAGAAGTCAGGAGAGATTTTTTTTGTTTCTTTCCCTTAAAATAAAACCTGGAAAAATTACCCACCCCATTTTTTAAATCCAAATATTTATTCACAAATAGATAATTTCAGGAGCTCATTATTACCAGTTTTGTATGCCTTTCGTACAGCTGTTAAAACAAGGGAGTTATATATTTCCCAGCAATTTCTGGTACTATAGTCAATGTGAAAGATGCTAGGAATGCGGCCATTGCTAAAGGACCATGGATTCTTTAGTCCTGCTGTAACATGACAGGATTAACTTGACTGTTTGGGAAGAACAGTGGAATTGGATTAGGCAGGCAGAGTCAAAGTGGATCCCTCCTTGGAGTTCAGGGTTTGGATTGAGCAGGTGCTTCTGAGATGTCCATAATCCCAAAACCAAACAAATACCAGACAACTTTTTGATGAACATGATTTTATTGATTATTTTTAGAAATATATCTGCATAACTCTGAAACCTCAGATTAAATATCAAGGAACAAGATCGCCCAGTTGGCTACAAGAGAGTCAAAGAACATAAATAGTTTTTATGAGGAAATAAATAAAAGATGTTATTTAAATCTTAGGGAAGTCAACTTTTTCACTGCCACGTCTTCCACTGCAAACAACATCTATTCAGGTTGAAGAAAAGTATGTGCATCTTATGAGTCTAGCAATTGGGAAGGGGTGGAGTCAGATCTGGAATGTTGTACTGTTATTATTATTTGCAGCTTGGCAATATTTAGCAACATCTCTGCCATCCAAAGACAGGAGGCACTTTTCCCAATAGAATAAGCCCGAAAGCTTATAGGTGACACTAAAGGAATGGGAAGAGAAGGTTCTTTAAACCAGGCTTAGGCCACCTGTGACTTCCAGATGTTGCTGAACTACAACTCCCAGCATCCAGAGAAGACATGGCCCATGGTAAGAAATGTTTGAAGTTGTAATTCATAACATTTGAAATGCCAAAAAAATAGTATACACCTATTCTAAGTTCTTCATCTTTCCCCAATTTGGTGCCCATTATATGTGTTGAACTACAGTTCCCATCACCAGCATCCAGCATGGCTGATGAAATTATATTCCAACATATGTAGAAGGTGCTCTGAAAAGGAAGGCATTTTACTATATGATTTAATCCCAAAATAGTGTGCTGAACCTGGTACACAAAGACAACGTGTCTTAGGACACAATCCCAACAAGTAAATAATTTAAATTCTCAATAGTTAGGCTCTTGGGCTTCAGAGGCAGATGATCACATCTCTGATTGCAAGAGCTGTAGAGTATTTAGAAGGGGAGATGGATAAGTATATAGTACAGTGACCATTACTGGAACTTAGCTATAAATGCATGGAGTGTTTTGAGCAATTTACATTCCCCAAAGTTGCATAGAGTCAAGGATTGGTATACAGAATAGAGATTGGAAGAATGAAGTAACCATTTTGTGTATGCTGCAGGCCCACTTCGGTCGACCACAGCAGAGCTTTGTCTCATATTAAATCCCAAGAGATTGTATTAATGCCTCCCCCTCCCATATTGAATTATGTTCCTCCCCCTCCCATATTGAAATTTGCACATGCTTTAAATTCAGGAATGATGTCCAGAAGTATCTGGATGTCTCACCACACAGAGATGGTACTGAGCATACTCATATTATTTTTAGGAAGAATTCTCTGGGCTTCTTTCATCCTGCTCGGCTTTCATCAATGATTGCTGCTAATTTAAAGATGGTCATCTTTCCAGATATTTTTTCCATTTAAGCTTCTTTGAATTCCCTCCCTTTATTTCTCTTCCCCCAATTTCTCTCTCTCTCTTATTCACTCTCTCTCTCTCACACACACACACCTTTATATGCCTCAATAAAGTTAGCTGTCTGTACAGATCAGCCACATAAAACACTATGTGTACATCGTGTATATTTCAAGCAATGCTGCAGCACAATAGGAAACCATCCATCATAGACAGCCCCAGAAAGAAATAAAGGGTCAGGATGGCAAAGTATTAAACTGCCCACTCCACCCTGTATTTGGTAGATACCATGATATCAGCAACTTCAGAAAAGGAATTCTGAGAGATGTAATCCCAACACGACTGGAAGGCACCTGATTGGGTAAATCTGTTGTAAAGACAGTGATCTGGTAAGGTTGGATTATTCGACACAAACACCTGGCCATTTTGCTAGAGAGATGCTAATCCTTTGTCCATTAAGGAAGGACAAAGAAGTCTTGAAAAAAAAAGTAGTAGTGCACAGAGCTTGCCTCCCCCTTCAATGTTATAGACAATGCAACCCTCTCTAATCTCTGACTCACTCCTCTCTCAGACTGAGAACTGCTACCATCTGCTCAATTTGAATTCTTCCCTCCCCCTTGGAGCTCTCATCCAAAGCTGGTAGCTTTCAGCCACACCAATTTTGAACCTCTGGTTGGGAAAGCAGCCATGATGGCCATGTCCCTCCCTTCGCTCAGTCCCATTTTGATTCCAGTGCCATCAAAAAGAGAGGGTGGGTGAAGCAAAAATCTCTACTCTTCTGGGCTGAGGTCTCACCAACAGCCTCCATCTAGAAGGAATTCTCCAGCTCCACCTGGTTGGTCTTGCTGCTCCTGGCCCTGGGGACCCGAGGTTTTTTGTTTTTCTGAGGACGAGTGGTCTCCTTGCTGAAATCCTTGAGCTGAGAGCGATTGTGATAGCGAGTGTATCTCTTGCATTTGCAGGAAGTGATGATTCTGGACTTGATAAACTGAATATCCTCACCAGGGCAGGTTAACTGGATACGTTGGAATTGACCTTGCGCCGGGATGCAGCGGTAATCCATGGCACGCTGCCTCCACCATTTCCCCTTGCCAATTGAATTGGGGAGGAGATGAGTTGGCAAGCATTGGCCAGAGCATACAAGCTCCTTAATCGGCTTGGTGCTGCGGCAAGGGCCACTGGTGATGTAGCGGGTGGAATAGACTTCACGGCAGCCAAACTGCAGGGGTTCTATGGAGGAAGAAAAATCACTTATTGCACTAAAGCCTATTGGAGGCCTCTTACAGCAAAGAAGGAAACAATACAACTCACCTGATTATTTATTCAGCACAGAAAATAATTCGAGCACTTTAAAAAAATATCTAGATAAGGAGTTTGGTGCTTCAGGTTGCTAGTGAATGGTTAGAATTTATCTGCAATTTGATGTGGAGCAGATTAGAAATTGATTTATGCTCTCGCAGTCTTGTGACTGGATCTTTGCAGGACCTTGGAGAGCTCTTAAGGAATATAAACATTGCTCCAACAATATGCAAAATAGGAATCCAAACTTTTTGGCAGATTGTTGAAGAGGATTTAGGGCCTGGACTCTAACATGGTGCCAGACTTGCGAATATGCCAACGCATGTGTCAACCAATATGTTTTTTGACACCTTTTAGACTCTTTATCTGATCGTTTTTTTAAAAATGGGAAAGACTACAAAGCAAAGCATTGATCTCAGGCATAAGCTATATTATCAACCATGCTGCTAGCTGCACCTGTACTCTAAAGGCATTTTTAGAATGCAAACTGGGCTGGCAGGTTGGCTGCAGTCCAATCTTTTGATTGACTTCTGCTAAATAAGTGTTTTGTTGTTGTTTTTGGTTGGGCATAGCAATCATTGCAACTGTATTCTGAAAGTGCCCATACGTTTTGATAGTTCCACAGCACCATCTGGCCCCCAAATACTGAAGGAAGTGTCTTTTTCCAGCAAAGGTAAAAAGTCAGCTGAAGCTAGAGTTGTCCTGCTATATGTCTAAAAAAATTCTACTTGTCAGCAGACTGAAATTCAAAACAATCCAACCCTGTTTTGACTCAACACAATGTTAGTTTCTTAAAATTTAAGAATTTTCAGGATGCACAAACCCTTTGGTAACAGTGAAGTGATGGAGCAGATTCTAATTAAGCAAGTTATGTCTGAACATTGACCTCTCAAATCTACCTATGACAGGCCCTTAGCATTTTAATACTATATTTCTCAGAAGTTTTACTGCAACTGTTCTGAGTTTTTTTGATAACCCCATTTGGCAAGTCTGAACTGAAGCTTCGTATACCAGAACATTTTGTTTCCAGCCCTAGTTATTCACTGATAAAAAGAAACCCCTGCAGATGGTGAAAAAAAGAGAAAGACTGCCTCCTGTATACCAAACATTGCAGATATTTGCTCAAACTCATTTTGGGAAAGCTAGCTTTGGCTTTCCTCCTGTGACAAAACTAGGATGCAAAAGACTAATCAGAGACAGATTGGAAAAGGAGAGATGCCAAGTACCTCTGGTTGTTTTGATTGACTGGGCATGCTGGCATGCAAGTTGAAAGAAGCCAACTTGCAATGCCTTTAAAGGACAGCCCAGTCTAAAATACATTCTAGAGCAGTGCTTCTCAATCTTGGCAGCTTGACATGTGTGGACTTCAACTCCCAGAATTCTTTAGCTTGCTATTCTGACTGGGGAATTGAGGTAGTTGAAGTCCAAACATCTCCAAGCGGCCAAGGTTGAGAAATATCATTCTAGATGCCCTTTAGATACCCCTTTAGCCTAGCTTGGGCTCTGCACAAAGTAAAGAACCAAAAGTTTAAATTACCTGGAGGGTAATTTGAACTACTATACGTCCATGTATTTGCCAGAAACTAAATAAATAAAATAAACCTGGAGGATAATGTGGTGGCCTTTCTCACCCACTTATGACTAAATCTAAGAACATATTCTGTATTTCACTGAATTTATCCCTCTATTGTTTTTTTCCTGGCCTTTATTGTTTCTGCAGATTTTATTTAAATGTAAATGCCTTAAGGCAAAAAGTTGACTCAGCCCCTGGCATTGGTATCATGCATAGAAATTTTCCTTAACACATCCTGATTAAATTAATATTAGTATTCTTGTAAGATTTTTTTAAAGAACTAAAATAGAAATGATGGTAATGGTTTTCTTGTTTTGCTTGAGTAGTTTTGAAAATGTGGGGAGCATAAAAAGATGCTTGGGGTGTTTTTTAATCGATTCTCCCCTTTGATACATTTTCATTATAATTGCATCTTCAGAATTGCAGTTAGTTGCATTTAAGGGAAAAAAAACCCTCCTGGATTATTGAACCTGATTTTAGATTGTTCACCCTATATGTATTTTATTTCAACAATGCTTAGAGACTTTAATTATTTCTAGAAGATAGAGAAAGTGACTAAAAGTGGCATTGGTCAACCTAGAGAACTTTCTTTTTTATTTCCTTCTTTTTCCTCCTTTGTGGTTTTCTCTCTGTAATCCATTCTCCCTTTTAACGATCTATTTTTCTATTTTCAATTATAATTAACACAGTTTGAACACAAGATTTTACAAAATTTTGATAAGACCCTGCATCAAATAGCAATAGATTTTTATGGTATCAATGGCTGTAAATAATTCAAACAGATTTTTCTAATAACAGACTAATATTCTAAACTTATAGGGTCCCTTGAAGTTGAAGACAAGTGTCCAAATATATGTGGCAATATTGCAATATAATCACTGCTTTTTATATTTGCGTGTGACGTCGGGATCCAAATATGGAAGGGCAGAATTTACATTAGGGTGCCCGTTATTCATTATTTTAAAATAACCAGGGTTACAAATACCATCTATGTCCAATCTTAGATTTAAATCCAGACACTTATAATGGAAGTAAGTAAGAAAGGAGGGAGGAAGGAAGGAAGGGAGGGAGGGAGGGAGGGAGGAAAGTATTTTGTTTGCTGATCAGTATTGGACTAGTAAGTAAGTAAGTAAGGAGGGAGGGGGGGGGAGGAGGGAATCATCCCGATCTGTAAAAAGCAGCGTCCTTGGAGTCTGTAGTTCTCCCGAAAAAGAATGTATTATCATGCCACACCTACCAGCTGAAAACACGGAAAGCAGGTTAGAGAAATTGTTTGAAATGTCTTACCCATCCTTCCCGAAGAAACCTGGGAATTCCTCCGCCCTTGCTGGGCTCGGTTGTTGGTGATTTCGCTCTCGTTGTACGCAAACGCCGCTTGCGCTGGCTGCTCCGCTGCCCCAAAGGTCTTGTCCAGAAAATCCGGGATGAACTCCGCGGCATCGTTTTTAAGCACTTGCCGGCTTCGGCCGGAGGGAAGGTTGACTTGGAGAAAGAAGAGTAGGAGGCCGTAAGAAGCCATCGCTCGGAAGATCGGCATGTCAGCAGGAGGGCAGGTGCGTCCGGCAGTCTTCTGGCTTCTTGAGCTGACGAACCTTATTTCTCTTTTTAAATTCCTCCGAAGAAAGCGGCTAGCCAATGATGGGGAGAGGGAGGATCCAGGAGAAGTGGGCGGGCTCATTTGGGCCAGCCCGTTTGCAGAGACCCAGGAATTCGGGTGACAGAAGGGGGGCGCGGGGGAGGGGGCGCGTTGAGTGCCTACAATTTTGCTGAACCTCACCGGTTTTATTTGCACCTTTTATAATAGAAAAAGAAGAAAAGTTGGATAAGGGAAAAAAAGTAGAGGTCTTTAGCCATTTCCTAGGCGTCTTTTCCCACGAAGACATGTTTTGAAAAAACATTTCATTTTTTTCCTCTGTTTTCAAACGCATTTCTGACTGATTTGAGGCCTCATCTTTGGCCAAAGTGCCAGTTACAAAATTTCCTTCCTTCTGGTTCAAAAAACCCTATTTCTATGATTATGCCCTACAGAAATTTCATTTGGGTGGAAAGAAGAGGGGATATTACCAAATAATTAAAAACTTTGATTCATTGATTGATTCAGTTAGGTGATTTGATTGTGTCCAACTCAGGGGGGCATACGTAAGATGTCCTCCTGCTTTTCCTACAGCATCCAAGTGAGGTGAGGTGGCTAGGCTAAGAGAGAGAGTGACTGGTCCAAAGTGATCCAACCAGCTTCCATACCTAAGGGAGAATTGAAACTTAGGGTCTTTGGTCCTGCACCTTAACTGTTATACTAAACAGGCTGTTAATGTGAGAGTCCAGTCTGTCTTGTACAGCTTCCTTCCATTCCCCATTGTGATAAAATAAATATTTTCAGAAGCTTCACCATTAAGAAGGCAACAGTGACTGCATGCAAGTTCTTCTTCCCATACAATATGGCTCTGACCTTCCAATTCTGATCCCCTTCTCAAGCTTGTAGCAATCAGCACATTTTGGAGGAAGAGGTTCCATGGGTAATTAGGGACCATGAGGAACATGTTGTTTGTGTCATGAGAACAACATTGCATTCTCTCCTCTTCCTAAGCATAACTTTATCCTGTCTATCTAAGCATGTGTTTTTCTATACCAGTCTTCCATCCCTAACACTACCATGGTGGTTTGGATTTCAAAATCTAACTGATCACAATGGCTGGGGATAATGACTCATATATCCAACAAATCTAAATGGCTTCAGGGACAGATGCACTGTTTTAAGGCAATATTCTAGTGTAGGTAAAATTGAACCCGGGCATTTTCTTGAATCTTTTCTATTATTTCATTTGTTCTCCATGTGTCCCTTTCTACATTGCTTGCATGTATCCATACTTCTTACTTGTAATGTTTAGAGCTTGGCCTTTTTATTTATTGTTCTGAATATAGGTAGCTTCTATCAAATTATACCTGTACTCAATCTGATCATTGTACTTACCAAGATTAATAGATGAAACGTGCTAATTTTTTTTAATTGAACACATTCATATCCTAATATTCTGAAGGACAATTGTTTCTGGGATGATGAGAAAAGGTTATACAATCAGTTTTCTTGCCTTGGAGTAACCTATGGATGCCACAGAAAAAATGGACTTGCCTGGTTAATTGCTTATCTTGTTTAACTAAAGAGATGTTTAACTAAAACTAAAGTGTAGGAGATGTTTAACTCTTGTTTAACTAAAGACAACACTCTATCAAATTCAAACCTAAAACTCACAAGCTTTCTTGAGGAAAAGAAACCACATGATTGACACATTATTCTCCTAGACAGATCATTTTAAACAAAAGAAAAATTGCGAAGTAAACACAGTTTGCATCTTTTCAAATAAATGTCTTTTTTGATTTTCTTCTACTTTTTACTGCTATTTGTTATGAAATATTCCATATTTTGGAAATTTATCCATGGCTCAAACATTTAAATAGCAGTGCATGAGATTACCTGACCATCAGTAGGGTTTGCAGAAGAGCTTATGACCATCTTGATCAGGGTTTGCTTTGATCTGTCAGGCCTAGATTGGCATGTCCTTGAATCAGCTACATAAACAGATAAGGCCTTTTAGGGGTGCAGTAGGGGGCACCCAGATGAAATCCATGCTCTTTATGTCCTCAGCACCCATTTAACTTGTGACTTCGAACTTAACCCTTTCACAGATTGTGTAAAATAGGCTTTTAAAAATTATGAATATATTTTGACTCTGCTATTGAAGACTAAAGATGCATTCTTTAAAAAAGAAGCTGAGATATGCACATTGGTTAGGTGGGATAAGAATGGTAAGTTACCGCGGGAAATGCACCTTCTGTTTTTTCTCATAACAGTTTTTTCCTCTGGAACGAAGCACTATAACATTTTTCTCTAGAAACAACCACAACTGTGGTTTTAGAGCAATGCTGGCTGGGGAATTCTGGGAGTTGAAACTCACACATCTTAAAGTTGCCAACTTTGAAAATCACTGATTTAGAGAGAAAAATGTGAGTGTAGGAAACGCATCTGCTCCCTTCCCTCAAAAACAAAATATATCTTTTCCCTCCCTTATTTGTAGTCTTTTTTCTTGGATCTCTATCATCGAAGTTCAAATTATAAAGTCACTTTCAGATGAGATTCTAAAATAACATTTTATTCCGTTTTTCACTTCTGTGTTCTCAGAGTAATAGGAATTCCAGATTCCCCCCCCCCCCCCCCCCTGTTTATTTATGTGAGCTTGTCCTCACCCACCCACACCCACCCCTCATTTTTCTGTTTTCTCTTGGGAATGGGAAGGAATTTGTTCAATTCCAAGCAGGAAATCATCCACTGATACAAAGTATCACCAGCCAGCCTAAACAAACATGTCCTCACCACCGTTTCCGCTCCCTTTTCTGAGTAAGAATTGCAGATTTACAGAGGAATTATGAAGTCTGAACAAGGAAGAAGTGCTTCATTTCTCTCCTTCTCTCTTTTTCTGCAACCCTCCTCTGATGCACATATATGTATTTAGTACACACAAACCAAAAATTTATTTGCCTGGTTAATGATAAGTATTATGTAATGAAGTTAGCCATTGTGAGTTATGATGCATTATGATTTATGACTTGGCTCATGTACATGTGCATACAACTGGAGTTGCAGCAATTCACAGTTAGATAAAAACAGCTACACAGCCAGTCAATCAATTCCTGGTTGCATCAACAACCAAGTATAGTATCAAAATCAAGGGAAGTCATTATTCCTCTCAGCTGCGTTGATCTGACCACAACGGCCATATTGTATCCATATTTTTGGAAAGCCATTGAAAAACTCGAGTGCATCAAATAATAACTCGGATACGAAAGGGCCTAGAAGGAAGAAATTATGAATATTTAGCAAGGAGAAGATTATGAGGAGACATAATGGCTTTCTTCAAGTATTTGAAGGGTTACCCTGTAGAAAAATAGATCTGCTTGGAATTGTTCCAAAAGACAGGACAAGAAATAATCGGACTGAATTACAAAAAAGTAGATTTTGGTGGCCATCTAGAAAAAAATTCCTAGTGGTTAGAGAGCAATGGAACAGAATACATCCAGAAATGGCAAACTCTCTGTCACAGGAGATATATAATGCAATGGGCAGGAACTAGATCAATACTTCCCAAAAATTTTCTTTTGTTAACTGAAAGTACTTGTCAGAAAGTCTTTTTCATCCAATGTAGGTAAAACCTTTTAAATGTCCCTGATGTGAATGGGTTGTGTGTGTGTGTGTGTGTGTGTGTGTGTGTGTATTGTATGATCCCATGATTGTAGATCATGAAAGAGAATTCATCTTCTGTACACAGTACTAATGAAATCGGTCCCATCAACACTGCTAGCAGTCATTAGCTGTATCCATATTTGATACTGAAATGCAAGTCACAGCCTTGTCAGTTAGTTATATAAGATGCTGGAAAATGTAGCATAAGCAATATTTAGAAGGTCGTAGGAGCCCCTATCTAAAAAGGGCACAGTGCCCCATATCTACATTTGATATAAAAAACAGTTGATATTCAAGCGAGCAAAATATAGTTTAGTCTATGTAGAAGCGTGTGGAGCGCATGAAGGAGTCAAAACATGCCCCAACACTAGTTGTGCAAGTCACAGTCAAGGTTGTGTATAATCATGATTCTCTGAGTGACAGCTGAAAAAGCACGGGATTTTAACCACTAGATAAACATATCTAAGCTTGATTTTACTAGCCTATGACTCAGATCAAATGGGGAGGGGGAAGGAGAGGAGATGGGGGGCAGGGAGAAGGAAAGGAAAGAAGGAAAGGAACAATTTCTAAAACATAGGTACCAAGTGGTTTGACAATCAGAGATCTTATGAGCCACAATGAAGCAGGCAAAGTTGTTATTTTTAAAATGAGTTAACGTTAAATTCTATAACATAATTCTTAAATCTATTTGGGGAGCTCTATCTGCCCCAGTATTAAATTCTCTCTCGGGCTCTCCTCTGAATTGTGCTATTGGAAGAGATACATTATGTGGCCACTTGAGAGGGGGCTTCCTTAGCTTTGGTACACCAATAAAAAATCCTCCCTTGCCATGAAGGCCATAATTTGGGATATTGGTAATAGACTTCCAACTCTTTCATTGTTTTCTTCTTTGGGTGATTTGATCATCAACCGGATGTTATCTATCCCTCCATAATATAAGAATAAAGGTAGGTTTCTTTGGAAAAAGAGGTAGCCCATCCCAAAAGGTCAGGAGGACATTTTAGTTGCTTCCACTTCCGTTCTATCTGTGAAGAGCAAAAGCACACAAAAAGGCTTCCTCGGATGCAATCGCAGACTCTTAAGTTGGAAAGATTTATGAGATCATTAAACTCACTGCCTTGCCCACTGCAGGTTTCACCACACCATGTTTAATAGATGACTATCCAACCAAGCCACTGAGGTCTCCAAATACTGCTAGCAGTGCATACCTCTTGGTGCTATAGAGGGGGATTTTTGTCTACATGCCCACCTTCACCCCCGTTATGGGATATGGTGCCCAACTTATCCACACAACCTGCAGCTTTGGAAAAGTTGATTTAAATAAACAGTATTCAGAGCACACACTCAAATCATCTACTGCACTTGCCTGATAGAAAGATGTCATTGAATATAAGACAATGCCCCCAGGAATAAATTGGAAGAAATATATATTCAGTAATCTCACACAATGCTTATGTCAACTCTCGAAAT